AGCTGCCATGATTTCCTACGATAAAGGAGCCATGTAGTCGTCCTCGTCGCTGCGAACCAGGGATTGCGGAGGCGACGGTTCGTGTCGAGCAGGCGGGTTACGCCCCCTCGGTCTTCTGGACGGGGCTTCAGGCTCGTTCACCCTTGGCTCCGGGGGCCGTCTGTCCTTTCGGGGTGGTGATCTTGCTTGCTTCTTAGAGGGCATCGGTTGGGGCCTCTCCGGCTGTGGCCGTAAAGAGGGGCTCCGGGAGCTCCCGCACTAATTTCTCCGCGGAGGAGAGCGGGACGAGGTGTCGTGTTCCAGCGCGCCGATGTGCTCATTTTGCTAGAACAAGTTCGTCTGGTTGATGGCCGCGTAGAGGGCAGCCATCGTCGGGTCAGCTCCAGCCGGTGTGGAAATGGGCTGCAATACCGCCGGACTCCTCGCCCAAGGAACGACATGGTGCGTAACCTCCTCAGACGAGGGCGAAGCAATTTGGCCGTCCCTGACGTCGGTCTCCCGGGATTGAGACGTCCCCGACTGGTTGTCGCCGTTGGTGATCGAGGCGATGGTGGAGTTGTGAATAACGTTGTCATGATGTGGGCTGGTCATGATATGGAGATTTGAGAGTTGAAACTTTGGTTATCTGCTCGGAAGAACAGATAAGCTTAGATTCCCACAGACGGCGCCACTGGTTGTACTTAACCAAAAGGGAATCAGTGACCTACCACGCATTGTTGATCTGCCAACTGCTCACCGAAGGTATGGAAAGGGAGGGAGGTATACCTAAAACACACTTTGATGCCAAAGTAAGTGACGAGCAGAGTGGAAGCAAGTACCGAGAGAAAGCGAGAGTTAAGTTACCTGACTCTCTAGTGAAGAGAGTATTTATAGTGAGTCTCCAACGCAGGGCCAACGGTTTCCTAACACTGGACTGCGCTACCAGACCCAATGTTAGTAACTGCTAGGACTGATGTGGCATCGTGAAGACCAGCACGTGGTCTTCGTCCTAGGGTAACTGTTTCGCGTTATCCGGAAGAAGGAAGACCGATTCTCCAGGACGTGGGTAATTACTTTATGACGTGTCCCTGGGTGAGAGGCACGTGGAGAACGTGGGAGGAGGCTCGAGAAACTCCCCTAGCAGCATAGTACAAACATAAAATTACAAACATAAAATTCTGATTCTAAGTGAGAAAAGCATAGTACAATACACTGTAATCGAATCTCATGTATGGCTCTCTCTACATAAGTACAACCAAATTGATACAAAACCCATGATATCTCGGTTTAACCCTGAGAACCCTAAATCTGCTACAACAAAATAGTAACAATTAGTCAATGGAACTTGGAACTTCATTAGTAACAGTAGTTAGCGATCGATGTACACTCCTACATAAAACTATCTAATTATCTAATTATCTTCACTTTCTACCAAATATTATACAGGAGCCTGCTATCACAAATAAAACCATAAATAGCAACGGATTAAAAGCTTAATCAAATGAGAAATAAAGATCCTGTGTACTGCACAGCAGGAAATCAAAGTTGGCCTTCAGAGGGTTTCTCTACAAACCAAATGCTTTAATTCAGAACCATAATCTGGAAGCTTCAAAAAAATCAGGTAGACAAGCATTGCAACACTATCTAATCTATGTATCTGACATCTGCCACGTGAAATTGGAAAGAAAAAAGAGCCGTTAGTTCACACTTTTTAGGAGTAACATGCAGTATTGATTTGTTCATAGTTTTAAAATGCATAAAGAGGATTGTTCAAGCACAAAGTTACATTGTTAAAATAAGAAATCCAGACAATTATCACATGAATATTTACAATTTTAATAAGATAGATTGGCCCAGCAATGAAAACAAAACCACTTTAGCATCCATGTAAATTAATGCATTTGTATACACATCTGAAAGTGCAATAATGAGCAAAATTTACAAGGAAAATTCATAAGATTAGTAATTCCATTTGGAGGTTAGGAAAATTCATAAGATTAGTAATTCCATTTGGAGGTTAGGAAAATTCATAAGATTAGGAATTCCATTTGGAGGTTAGGAAAATACTCTTTAAATACGTGTCATTAAATATCCATCAATATTAGTTGAGTTAAATAGGTGTAAACTGTTGGTCTAAGGTTCAATTTTTAGCAGCAACATTTATTTATATTTTGTTTAAATGTAAGCAAGTTGTTGATATTGGTAAATCGATTACAAACTCAACAGTATAAACTCTAAAACGGGTAGTGAAAAAACACAACACAATGAACAGGAAAAAAATTAAAAGTACCATTACTACTACTACTATCCAAGTAATCTTTAATTATGCATCCATAACAGTTTCTACATAAATATGGTTAGTTCCACTTCCAGCGGCAAAACTAAACAAAGAATTGCCGAGGTATGTGATTGGGATGCTGTTTAGTGTATTTAAGTGGGTTGGTTCTACTTTCCAAATGTTTGGATTTTCATCAATTGGCGTCGAAATTGGTTGTTGGTGTAAAGAAAAAATAGAGAAAATTTTCATATTTTTTGGGAATATTTTTTGGAAAGAATGATAAATGAAAGTTTATCATTAACTTATTTAGTTTTGAAAATATTAAAACAGTGTAGATTGAATTTGAAGAATTTATCTAAACCCTCTAAAATTCTCCAAATTCCTCTTTCAATACAATTTTTAAGTTCCCTCATTTTAGGGGGATTTCAAATTATAAAGAAAAACCAACCCCCTATTTAAATTGGGGGATCATTTCTTCCATTTCCCTTTCCTCTCTCGTTTTCTGCTATGTTGTTCTCTTTCACACACTATCCCTTTCCCTTTTCTTTCATTTATTCTCACTGCCCAGAAACTCTAACTAATATGTTTTTTCCGTGACTATTTGTTATCCTCTTCATTAAAGTGGCAATGCATCATCCTCCCAACAACACAGAAATAGCTACACAACCAACAGCTATTTATTGTCATGACTTTTATTGCTATCCTCTTGTTCGTTCTGCTTGAATACAATGGCTATTTATACAGGTCATGAAATATGTATTTTTCCATTGAAGATAGAATAGCAGGCCTAGGTTGTTAATCTCGGATAGCGGCTCATAGCACCAGACCCCCAAAATGCTATAGCAGCATGGCTGGTGGCGGGATAACCGCTATTGTGAGCTTTAAGAACCAAGGCAAATATACTTAACAAGAATACATAAATACTTAAAATAAGTTCCAACAACATAAATAATGCCTTAAAAACAGAAGTTATACATAAATTCCAAACCAACCATCAATATAAGTTTCCGTCAAAATCAAATTCTAAATGTACTCATAATGACTAAATCGCATCCGTGTCTGCCTCATCTACACTTCTACTTTCAACCACATTAATATCAACTTGCTCATCACTTGATTCAAACTCTTCTTCCACCTCCAACTCCTCATCTCCGTTAAACACTAATGTAGCATGTCTAGAGTGATGTCAAGTAACTCTTTCTGGTTCATTAGCCCCAGCTGCATTACCAACAGCTTCCCAAGTCAAACCCTCTTCTCCCATAACAGAGCAAACAGCAAAACAGAGAAGGCAGCTGTGAATAGATGAAAAAGGTGAAGAAATAGATGAATAGGTGAAGAACGGTGATGTTTTTGGAAGAATGATGGATGGCTTGCTGGTTTGAGAAGAAGAATGTTGAAGAAGTCGTACGAGGAAGTTTTGCAAAGTTGGCTTTCTAAAACGCATTTGTGAAGAGGGAAACGGCAAAAAGAACACGTGAAATGACCTAAAGCAAACACTTGTGCTCTTATACTAGGTCAAATAACTGGGTCAAAATACCAATTTGCCTATAAAAAGTTCGAATTTACAAATTTACCCTCATCTTCGCAATTGCAGTCTGCAAGCACTACAGAACCGCAAAAGCGTCTCCATGACGCCACAAATAGCAGCCGCTATTCCCGCTATTGCAGATAGCGCTTAGCAGCCCAAAAGCACCGCGGTGAGGGCCGGTTCTGTTATGCTACGCCGCTAGAGAGTGCTATCGACAACCTAGATAGCAGCAACCCTGCAGTGCCTGCTATCCATCATAGTGTATTCTAGATTAGTCACTCCATGCAGCTATCTGAGATTGTAACTATGGTTCTCATTTCTCACACTACCATTAGTTGCTATTCAAGATAATATACTTCAAGAAGTTTCAGGTGGATGTTATTTGTGCTAACATTAGCTACACTTATAGTGGACAGCTGAGGTGCATATCAGTCAGCCCGGCTCACTAACAATACATACACGCATGCATATACCAATTTAACAACTTCAGCTATTGGGGATTTGAAAGAATGTAGAATGTGGAAATCACAATTCCTTGGACAATTACCCATAAAAGAAACTTAAATAATATCACATCTTGAATAGTGCGGCCTATGCCAACAAATGTGCACAGGGTAAAGCAGTCCCGTAAAAGCATATGATTTTCACATTTAATGAATTGATATTTTAAAAGGACAAACCTTCAAGAGACTATAGCAACACTGTTTAACAACTAAAAACTAGCACAAGAGAAAGGAAGTCAAAATGAATATCATCAAATTTAATAGAGGCTAGCATCAAATTTAATAGAGGCTAGCATCAAATTTCTCTAATTCTTGATAAAACTGCACAACATGGAGTTGAAAAAAGATCTAAAAGCGCAACACTGGTCACAAGCCATAAAAGCAGAAATGTCAATCTCAATCATTAGACCTGTATCACATGACTATCTTAAATTTCCAATATGTAAACTGGTCATTCAAACCAAGTGGCTAAGTAAACAGAAACGCAGTCAACCACACATCTCATGGTCAACCGTATTACTCATTAATGAACAACACAATCATGAATCGAAGTTAAAAGAAGTCATCTTGAAAGATCACACAAATATACCTCTATAAAATCAAAAGACAAAAGCACAGACAATTCAAAACAGAAAATATACAAGAATTCAAGAACATATAACGAGCTAAAAATTTGGAGTTTGTAATTTTACCTCACGGGAAGTATTCAGGTTCACGGTGACCTTGCATCAGACCCAGACGCTGAGGAGCTGTCACTATCAGAATCTGCAAAAGCAAGTAAATATCAGACATTACATTTGAATAAATGAATTAGCCAGGGTGACCTTCCAGAACCATGAATATGGGACAGACATCTAGGAAATAATTCATTAATATACCACTTGATGAAGAGCCAGAATCACTGCTTGAGCTGCTTGAGCTACTTGTCTTACTCCCGTTATCCTCTTGAATTTCCCCTTGCTCGGGCAAGGATGGGGGAGCATTTCTTTCCTCTGCTCAGAAACAAGCAGACAAAATATTTCAATTAATTTAATTGATGAAAAGAAGATAAGAGATAAAAAAAAATAGTTAACAAGCTGACATACCTGCTTGTCTTTCTCTCGGGACCTCAACAACATCGTGTTGTGCTTGGGTCTACAGGAAGTATTAAATGAACTTAATTACTAACAATTGTTTGCCAAAGAAGACGTGGGATATTAAAAAGTTGAAATTGATATTTTACCCTCTGCTGGGCCATTTGCTCAGCCTCTGCTCTAGCTTGAATAGCAAGTTCAGCCTTCCTCTTGTATTTGCTCAAACTTTTCTTATAGTTGGTAACAAATCTATCAAGCTCCCAAAGAGTCTCTGCATCCACACTATCAATGTCCACTTCAATTTCATCATCATGTTGGGAAAGTGCTGAATTCTGTTTCTTCATGATCTGTACAATAGCATCTAGTTTATCAGAAGGTAGATTCTGAAGATGTGTGCTAAGTTTTTGCTTCTCTTCATATGTCATATCTCTTTTATGAAGATCATTAGCTTTAGGCTTTTTGGGAGCAGGAGTTCGAGCTAAACGAGTAAAGTTCATGGGTTTTGGAGGTTTTGTCATTGATTCTGACCTATCCAGAATCCTTCTCATGTCTAGAGGTGGTGGCCGGAAAGCAGGAGTCTTTCTAGACAGGGGTGAAGGTGCGGAAACAGCTTGGCCATAATCCATGACATACCTCATTTCATTATTGTAATTTGCCTCTATAATAGCCCACCTTTCATCAAACAATGTTAATAGCTCCTCCGCCATTATATGAACGTCTTGCCCTTTAGGATTATATGTCATGGCATTACGAAAAGTAAGTCTCACATCCTCCGCAAATTCCTTGGGTGATTTGTACCAATTCTTGTTCAGCCTCGACTTCACAGTACCCAAGTCCATTGGATGTGAGATGATGATGAAATAATCATGCAAACCAAGACCTTCAACATTAACTGGAGCATTAAACACCCAACCATGCTTGTGTTTCATCAACTTTTCAAGCAATGAGCTACAGCTCTTCAAATATTTTGATACTATCCCAAGCCCATGTCCCATTTCTCCCCTGCCATGCTTCTTTCCATTCAATCTTGACTTCTTGTTACTCTCTGCAGGCGGAAACTTATCTTTTGCAAGTAAGAATTCTGAATTGCAATAGAACTGGTTTGCCTTGGGTGTTCTCTTCTCCCTTTCAATAATTTCACTAACCCCTTGACTATTCTCTAACACCATTACACTTAATGGGCGTAAAGGCCTAGTAGGCTCTCTTGGAACGCCTGCAGATACTACCTCAGAGTGAGTGCGCTTAGCTCCCCCACCATTATTAACCATATGATGATCCACCGACATGTTCAAATTACCACCATACATCCCAACCGTCCCTTGCTTCTCTTCAATCCTATTCACCAAAGATCTCACAGTTTCAAGCTCGCTCTCAAGCTTCCTCCTAAGCTCCCGTGTCTCCTGCTTTGACCGTGAAGTCAGGCCATTGTTAACACCATTCTCCACCCCCTGCTTACTAACACAGTTCCTCAAAGATGGTTCTCGCGAGCCAGAAGCATCTTCCAGCTGAATATCAAGAGTGAAATGTTCATCCTGCCTACGATTCAGGCTGGATGAGTCTTCTGAAACCACATCCATCCCAGAATTCACTACAGGGCGAAGCGAATTCCCATCCTCCGGAACCATAACCCGATCCGGCTGCTGAACGGAAACATTGTTATTGTTGCCGTTATCCTTCGTTCCATCAGCAGTGACTGTGGTGGTAGCAGCAGATGAAGAACTAGCACGAGGAACATCGCTCAAGGTATCGTTAACTTTCTTCTTTGAACCTTTGAAGGCTTTTCTCCTGTACACGTTATTCTCCGAGTATCTCTGTATCTCTCTAACCCCCTCATCTCTAACTATAGGCCCCGAAGCCATTCATTCAAAACCCTAATTCTTTTTCACCCTGACGAAACAACAATTCCAAACCCTAGGTTACGAATCTAGGGTTTAACGGAACCAAAATTGAACGAATCAAACCCGGTGAAGAAAAACCTAAACCGTTAGGGTTAGGGCTAGGGTTTTTCACCGATCAAGTTCAAAAAAAAAAACAAGAACCAAACACGCATAGTAGAGTTACCTTCACTCCATTCAGATCTTTAACGGAACCAAAATTGAACGAATCAAACCCGGTGAAGAAAAACCTAAAACCGTTAGGGTTAGGGTTTTTCACCGATCAAGTTCAAAAAAAACGAAGAACCAAACACGCATAGTAGAGTTACCTTCACTCCATTCAGATCTATAACACGTTCTTTCTCTATCTTCTCGAGAGTCGAGATGAACTTTCTCTCTCTAGAACTCTCTCTGAAGTGTTTCTCTCTCTCTCTAAAACGGTATATCCTCTTATCGCGTCACAGGTGTACGGGATCGGAGAGGGTTCGTCTGAAGAAGAGTGAAAGCGCACGCGCGAGAAACATAATAGCACCAGTTTTAAAGGATGTGGTTTCACGCTGTTGTTTGGAGCGTGTAATGCACGCACTAATAAGGAGTCGTTTAGTTCGGGGTATGGTTGTTAACGCGGTAGTTGAAGGGAAAGAGGCTTTTGTGGCGCGGAATTTCTATTGTGAAAATTTGAAATGTTAACGTAGCCGGATTTTTGGCGCGTGGTGGATACTTACCAGATGAACTGAACTGGCCGGCGGCCTAGTTCCCGGAAAAGCTTTGCACGCGCCGGTTAGGCGGTTGGAGTATCTCACTTAACTATAGACTCTTTTTTTGCTTTTTTTTTTTTTTTTTTCTCCCTAATCGATGGGTCTTAGCTCCAGTTATATGCAAATTAGTTTGTGAATTTCTCTCTCTTGAAAAAAAAATTTTAATTCTTACAAATTGTCAAAAATATTGTTTGGATTGTAGAATGTGAAATCTGCTTTTTAAATCTTCGGATTTTATAATATACACATTTCACATAGTCTATGAAATCCTTCTTTTCCCTAACTACTGCATATCTCTCTTTTGGGCCAAAGATCCTCAAATCTTAAACACATCGCATTGTCTTATTTTTCATTAAATTTTAGCCGAATCATAATGTAGTGAACTACTTAATAACAAGTTGGTATGGACATTTGCTTGAATCATTGATTTTGTGATAAGTTTTTCTTGATTGCTAGTTTCATTCGGATTATAGAATCTGAGACGTCGTGCATGCTTTTAAATTATATAATTTGAAATTTAGTAGGTTGCATTTAATGTTTTATTTTTTTTTCATTTGTTGATATATTTGTATGTTTTTCTTAGAGTAATTGACTTTGTATGTTTGATTTGTATTTGTTCTAGTATGTATTTGTGTTAATTTTACTATTTATGAAAATAGATAGGAATAATATGCGAGAAATCATGCTAGAGATAATTGAGACTCGGCCACTATTTATGTTAGGAAATCGTTTGAGGTAGGGGTGGTAAAATGAGTTGTCCGCCTCATTTCGTTCAGTTCCATTTAAGTCTGTCAAATGAAATTGAACTTAAAAATCTAATTTTTTCCGTCAAGGTGGTGAATTGGTAGGCGGCGGACTTGTCTGACTATTTTTTTTTAATAGATTAATAGGCTTATTTTTATATTTCAATTAGTTTTTCACTTTTTTTTTATAAAAATTTTTTATAAAGAGTCTTTTTAATAAATTTTACTTTAAAAAAATATTGTTTATATTCACAAATAAATATATAAAATAAAATCATCAATAAATATTTCAAAACTATGGTTCAAGTATTAACCTTCAATCAACCAAAATAAATATTTTTAGTGTTTGATAACTAGGTTGGCGGGCTGACGAGTCAACCCGCCCCTTTTTTTGGCGGGCTTAAGGCGAGACATGCTTAAAGCGGGACGGGGTGAGCGGGTAGGCGGACATAAAATCCTAACCCAACCCACCATTTTTTGGCGGGTGTGCTGGGCTGCCATGCGGGTCACGACCCGTTTTGCCACCCTTATCTGAGGTTTAGTTGAAGTATATCCCGGAGGTTTGTACGACATGTGGTTATTGACATTTTACACAGACCAAGTGTCTAGGTATATCCGGGATGAGCGTTATGATACGTCTTTCCATTTAATATTGTAAGTCTTGTGGTTTTTGAATTGACTGCATTTTAGTAAAACAACATGACGTTAGCAAGATGTTGAACCAAATGTTCTACGATGTCAGTCATACATAATGTTCTACATGATGTTGAGACGTGTTCCAGGACATGTTATATCAGGTAGCTAGGACATGGCTATTTTGGTAATTTTAGTGTGAATTTTGAGTGTGTTCTGATCCACACGTCGGCAACTTGTATGAGAGTATATTGTGGGACTCTCGGTTATTGCAGATTCTGTTACTTTTCTTAAAAAGGATCCATGAGCCTTTTAAAGAAAATTTGTATTTTCTCCTATTTTTATACAGGTTAATTTGGAGCCAATTTATACTGATTGTTGCTATTTGTACGTCTCATGAAACGCAAGTCCAGTAGGTATGAAGGTTATTCAAAGAGAAGAAAAACCATATTTGAACAAGAGAGCATATCGTGAGAGTTAGAGAATAAGATTAGTCGTTGTTTTGGTTGGTCCATAGGGTTTTCGTTTGTTAAGTGTATGTCACTCATGTATCTTCTGATGCATTGAGTTTGATTGATTGTTCATTGTTCACTTGAAGCTTTTAAGAAAATAGTGTATTGTTCTTGGTTAAAGCTTTTAAGCAAGATTAACTATTGTTTTGTAAGTGTGATCTTCTATTATTTATTTTGTATACAGCCACTAGGATTGGGACTGTTTAATATCACTGAGGTGGTTTAGGGGGTGAGAGTGGATTCCCATGTCTAGATGGTGATTTCTATGTAGAAGTTGCACTGGGTGGGGATTAAGTGAGAAGTTGTAAACTGAGATTGTTTAGCTTCGAATTAATACTACTGATAGTGAATTTCCTTCTTGGCTTGGTAGCCCCTAGATGTAGGTGAGTTGCACCGAACTGGGTTAACAATTCTAGTGTTTTTTTTCTTCTGTTATTTGAATTCCTGCATTTTTGTGTGTGTGTGTGTGTGTTCAAGCTGTGTTTTGATCCCAGTGTTGTGACATCTGTCTCGACATCTGGTATCTGTGTGCCAGAATTTCAATTGGCATCATAGCAGATCACCCTGTTATGTTTTTGGGTGAGCTCCAGGGAGTTTGTATTCTGGTACTATGGACAAGGAATGAGGAGGAAATGTTAATAGGCCTCCAATATTATATGGCAAAAATTATGACTATTGGAAGGCACATATGGTGGCCTTTTAAAAATCTACGGATAGCAGAATTTGGAAGGATATCATTAAGGGTTGGGAGAACCCTGTAGTTAAGGATAAGGATGGTAAAGAATCCTTGAAACCTGAAGAGGATTGGACCAAGGAGGAAGATAAAACTGCTCTTGGAAATTCCAAATCCTTGAACGCCTTATTCAATGGAGTGGACAAGAACATGTTCAGGTTGATCAACATTTGCACTATGGCTAAGGGTGATTGGGAAATTCTCAAGACAACTCATGAAGGAACGTCCAAGGTTAAAATGTCTAGACTTCAGCTACTCAGTACAACTACCCCATTATTCTCTCGTATCTAACAAACGGTTCATCTTCCATTATCTTAACATGCAATTTGGTTCTTTTATATCAAACATTACCATCTCTACTTCAAGCAAGAGTTCTGAAGAAAAGAATATATAAATGCCTACAAAATCTAGGGTTTCACCTTTAACAACTGAGGCTTTTTCGCCATATGTCATCATTGATGTTTTACCTCTCTCTATTGTTCATCCTCAAGAAAGTTTCAAATTCTCTGGACGCAAGAAGGTCAAGACCTTTAAGGTTATAAAAAACTCTTCTCTTTCAAAAGAAAGTCAAAAACTTTGTAGGTCTAAAAAGTCTACAATTCTTGGTATAAAGAAACCTCTATCTATGAAAAGTTTGTACCTTGATCCTCTCCGTACTAGTCAGGAACATCTAGAGTGTAACCCTAAGATAACTACTGATTCCACCATTCATGAAGTCCCAAGTATGAATATTATTTAGGATCCTAATGACAAGGTGATCACAGACAAAGTTTATCAGAAATTTTGTGATATTGCTTAAGAGGTCCGTAAGAAGAATGTGTCTAAGTCTGTTAACACTGGATCTAATGTTGAGTCTGATGTTGAGACATCCTCGGCCCAGACAAAACATAGAAATTATATCATAGATGAGGCTGAGAAGGGAAACACTGATAGGAGGCTCCGCAAGTTTGTGGCCAGTGTTCAAAAAGATGCTAAGAGGGAAACTAATTAAAGTAGTTCCACTATAGTGACTGGCCAACATAAATGGAAACCTACGAGTCTTCATCAAAAAGAGGTGGTTACAAAAATTGTGTCTTTTAATGCTCATGAGCAATATAATCAAGAAGAAGTGACTACCAGAGATCAAAGTGAGACGAGCAAAGACTTAGTGATGTTTGATGATAATGAAGAAAATTACTTTAAACCCAAGACTCCTACAACTGTTAATTTGAGTCCAGATGATGAAACATTGGCAGAAAGTATTGCAGAGAATACAAAAAGGAGGAAAGGAGAAACTGATGTGTCAACAAGCAAACAACATAGGAATTCTAAGAAAAAAACTAGTGTAGGACCTGAGAAAAGCTAAAGCAAGGTAGTGTCTCCTGTTCTAGAGAAGAAATCATTGAAGACGAAGAAAACTCCTTCAAGTGACTCTGAGATTGAAATTCTTGTTGAATTCGATGTCTAAAACATTATATCTTCTAGCAGAAAGATTGATGCGAGAAAGAAAATACCTAATAATATTCCTGATGTGGCCATTGATAACATATCCTTTCATTTTGTGGAAAATGGAGGTTTGTCTGTCAGAGGAGGTTAGCTCTTGAAAGAGAACTTGGTAAGGATGCTC